ACTTTTATACGGAGTTCACAACTGCATAAGGTCATATCAGCGCGCGGGAGATTTTAAACATTTTCAGTTGGTAGGAAATTTTGAATGTTTCGCGGGTAGCGGCCGAAGCCTACTCTTATGAATTTTTGGACCGCAACTCGCACACAGGACCTGCGAGATCTTTTAACCTTGTCGGAGAAGGCTATGTGCAGATCTTTCCTACCTCAAGATCAGGGGTGTGCCTGAAAGACAGCCGTAAAAAGGAGCCAGGGAATAGTAGTAGAAAGGCTGCAGAAAGAGTCAGAAGCCCAGACGAGGGTGCAAAGTAGGTGAGGGGTAGGTACAGAAAGTGGAGGCGAAAACAGACGACATAGCATTGCCAGAGAGCAAGAAAGGAGGTGAAAGTAGGCAATATTTTAGAAAGAAAAAAAATTCCGTCAATATCCGGATTCGAACTCGGGACCTCTTGAATGAGAGGCAAAAGGTCTAACCTCTATGCCGTGAGAACCCCCAACGTTTCTCTAAATAGTTGGTAAACATTTTCAGCTCCTGCTTATGTTGAAGCCGGTGCACTTCTCTCCTTCGCTTTGTTTTCGTTCTTGTATATTTTTTTTATCATTATCATAATCACATTCTAAGACAAAATCAATCGGTGTTATTTTTATTCTATTCTGATTTGGAATTATTTATTTATTTGAATGATGATTTTGAAAACAAATGTTTTGATATATCTACTAATTAATCAATTAAACAATCAATTAGTTAATCAATTACTTAATCAATCCATTCTTTCCTTTCTTCTTTCATTCATTCATTCATCTTTTTCTTTCGTTTATTTTTCCAGTCATTTAGTGAAAACTCAATTTTCTTTTATTAGGGCATTTATTGTTTGTTTGTTTGTTATTCACTATATTTATCTTTATGTAGGTATTACATGTATTGCCCCCCCCCCCCCCCACATGCACACACACACCTAAATCGATATAATTTAGATCATTTAGATGGTGGGCTTCGAACCTGTCTACCAGAGCCAATCCGGGCTGGCACGGACATCTCTGCAGAAAAACTGACATACTCGATAGATATATATATATATATTCTCCCCTACTCGGGAATCGAACTCCGGTCTCCTGCGTTAGACAGCGAAGCACTTTACCGCTACACCACAGATGCCAGTCTTTATGGTCTGATTTAGCTAACTTCATCTTTTTTGCAGCCACGGTTCCGCTAAATACATCGAAGATTTTAACAACTCGTTGCCGCAGAATTACAACGGTCTATCAGAAACCAATAAATGATCTATCTTTTCTAGTAAAACCGTAAGGTTATTCGGAGTCCTTATCAAGATATTCAAAGAATTGCATTCTAAAAAGCTTGACATATGAAAATCACAATTTTTTACTTCAAATTTCTCAAAATTAAGTACTGAGCAGATAGAAATGTGTAATTCTGAGGTACCCACTCCCCTATACAACTTGTAAGATTTAATGAGAAGCTCCTACAAAGTCTAAAGTTGTCGCTGGCAGAACTAAGACTAGAGTACTGAAGAGCTTTGAAAACGCCTCAAACAAATCCACATTCAAGAGCGCCCCTGGATTCGAACTAGGGTAATTTGATTCATAGTCCAGCGTGATTCCTACTGAGTTATAGGAGCCCTGAATACTGTAATACATCTGTTTGTTTTCAAATGATGTACGGTGATGTGCCACTCCCATTTATATAAAAAAAATGTCATACATTATTATTAGCTTATACGTTGCGACATTCTATATAATATTATATATATATATATATATATATATATATATATGTTATTGTATATGTTGTATTCATTGCTATGTCTTTTTTTTCGGGGGGGGGGGGGGGGTAATAATATGTTTCGAAATGGAAATAACCTTTAGTTTGGAGGGT